CACAAATCCAGCCCAAACCCAAATATTGAGCCCACCAACCATTTATTCAAACCAAACCCAATCCAGCACCGGCCAACTTAATCAAAAAGGTCTAAGCTCAGTTGATCGAATTAGTCAACTTATTTCCATCTCCAAAACTCACCGTTTCTCCCCTTTTTATGGCCAAAAGAAAACCCTAAATATTTTTCAGCAGCTTTTTTGAAATTTAACTACCAGGGTCATATTTCAAGTACCGTTCAAAAAAAAAAAAAAACAAAAAACAAAACAAAACTACCAGTGTCTTTGTTCCCAAGAATGTATGGCTATGTTTTGAAATTCAATTACCCTCTTAAGTGCAAGAATTGGTTGGGTGTGTTTTCCATCTTTTCTTCTGTTTGATTTATGTTTCTAACTTTCTATTTTATGCAGGAAAACTAAGAAAGCTTTAAGAATTTTTGAAAGCATTGTGTACTATCGAAGATGACTGATAAACTTGAAGATCCAGTTTCTCTAGATGAAGAAATTAGCTTGGAAGCAGGGGAGTCAGTAGCTTGGAATCAAAAACAAATCATTGTGTTGTATCTCTAAAGGAGATCTGGTATGGACAACATCTAGAAGAGCACTTCGGCAAACTAAAGTTGGTGGAACTCACCTGTTTTCCTAAGAGATCAACTTTTCTTCCGCCCCCTTTCTTCCAGTCTTTGCCCAGTCTTGAAAAACTTGTTGTGAGGAATTCTTTCTTCAATGAAGTATTCCGATGTGAAGAAGTTGGTGTTCAGGAAAAACCTTGTGTATGTGGACGCACTCCATTATGCGAACTAAGGCTGTACAAACTCCATGAGCTAACACATCTTTGGAAGGAAGAATCCCAAATTGAATCAATTTTAGTAGCCGAAAAACTCTAGATGTTCAAGAATGTAGCGGATTGAAGAATTTAGTGCCATCCAATGTACATATCAACAATTTGCAGACTTTGGAAGTATCTGAGTGTCATGGACTTGTCAATTTAGTGAGATACTCAACTGCAAAAAGCCTGGTGCAACTCAAAACAATGCAAGTAACCAAATGTGAGACGATGGAGGAAATTGTGTATGCTTGGGCGATGATGTGAAGGATGGCATTATTTTCACCAAGCTGAAGTACTTGCAGCTTGAAGGTCTACCAAGACTAGCAAGCTTTTGTTCAGGGGTTTGCAACTTTGAATTCCCAGATTTAGAAGTTGTCATTGTTAGAGAGTGTCCAAATATGCAAATTTTCTCCAATGGAGAACAAAGCACACCAAAACTGGCCAAGTTGAAAGAATATTATGGGGATGGAGGATGCTGGGAGGGCAACCTTAACTGCACTGTACAACAGGTGTTCAAGGAAAAGGTATGCATTATTCTGAATGCTCCCTGGTGTATTTTTACTTTTTAAAGATTTTTCTTCTCCTTAATTATCCAATTAAAGACATGATCAAATTAATTAAACTATCTCCTTCATTACGATTTTCATTTTTTTAAAAATGGCATCTGCTTCTCCCTTGCTAATGACAAAACCGAGAAATGATAAATGCACCAGGGTGGAAGGCCATGATAATTTAATCAAATTCTTTTCTTTTAATTTGCTTTGCAAATCAGGGAAAAGCATTTTCGATCATAAATTAACATTTTTGCTGCAATTTTTTCTTTTACCTTCCATTGTGTTCTTCCAAAAAAAGGCAATGCTGAATGGTTCTAAAGAAGACAGTGAGCGCCACTGAAGAAGATTATGTTAATTAATTTTTTATGCTACCTAGTATATTATGTTAATTAATGGTTCTAAAAGTGTTGGGATTTAGGTGACATTTCTATCTTGAAGAGGATCTTGTGTTCATACTTAACTATCATTCTAGGCGTAATCTTGGAAATCTTTCTATATAAATATATTATATCTTTCTCATAGCATGGTATGAATGAGAGAGGCTTTTTTTTTCCTTGCCTATTTCTTGTTAAAAACCCTTATCTTATCCATATGTTTGGCTCGTCCTTGCTTTCTGCACCTTTAACATATGTTGCTCTTTACAGAATGCTTAAGATTTTGAAGAAAGCAATATTGGTCTCGTAACTCTGAAAGAGAACAGTGAAGTGGATTATGAGGTGGGAGTGCCTTCCGCTCCCATTATCTTCACTTGTCTGGGTTGTCTCATGTACCTTGCCATTCATGCAAAGGTACATACATCTCTTATATAGAGCTATATTTATTGATGATGCTTTCTTATTTCCTTGTAGGTTTTAATGACGCACTCATCATAATCATTTTGATTCATGCTACCAGGTTCCTATATTGCTAATTTAACACACATAAAAGAATCTTTCATACTCTGAAATTGGTTTATTTCAATTTCTAAACTCATGTATGACATGATATATTATCAAGTATTTAATTCTATAAGCCACTAGACTATTTCATTTTACTTTTCTTGATGCATTTATTTTATTGTGTAAAAGAGAGTATTTGAATCTTTTATTCAGAAATGAGCTATTCATTTTAATTTTACAATCAAATTGTACTCTTGTTTTAATGAGAAGATTAGTGGATGACTGTTATATTCTTCAATTAACATTTGGCAATTATGCACAACTCAATCAACTTTTAGTAATATCTTCTTCTGTTCAAAATGTTAGAGTTGATTGTAGAGTGGTTGTAATTGCCTTATTAAAGCATAAATGGCACACTTTGCAGCATTTCCATTCTTTACAATTTAGGAACGTGTGTTCAGGTCCCAAATTCCATTTCTTTAAACTGCAGCAATAGCAAATATGACATGCATGTAGATCAATTACATTTCTTGCATGCGTAACTGAGTCCAAACATCACTCTTAAGTATCATTTTCATCATCGCATTTCAAACTAGTCTTAACATAGCGGTTAAGTGCCATTTGTAGTTCTTGAACTTTCAACTTTAAACTTTTGTTGTTCCTAAACTTTTTTTTTTTTCATCCCTTTAGTATTAAAAATGCATTTTTTTAGTCATTTTGTTTGTTAGCCTATCAAATTTGTCTATATATACATATCCTTAGTCCCTAAACTTATAATGTAAGTACATTTTTAATCTTTGAATTTATAAATTTAAAAACTAAAAATGTACATATATGGACAGATTTAACAAATTAAAGAAATGACTAAAAAAATACATTTTTAATACTCTATGGGTGAAAAAAGTATAAAAAATAATTCAAAAATAAAAAAATGTTCAAAATTAAAAGTTTAGAAACTAAAAATAACATTTAATTTCACTTGTATGCACTTATATTTGAGCTCAGGATTATGTCCAACGTTTAACTAACTTCTGCATGCAGGTAAATTAGTGACCGGCCAATATATGAATTTCAATTCAAATTTCTGTTTTGTGTCATATCCCGCACAATAGAATTAGTCAAAACTTCCTATTCGCTTCCTAATTGTTATTATGCATAAAATTACTATTTCTTTCTAAATTATATGTACGTACTCCCTCTCCTTTATTTATTTATTTTTTTTCTTTTGGAAAAACGATCAATATTAATGAAGGATGTAAGCTTAGGTCCTAAATGGCGGGTATTAGTAAGAGTAGGATTAAGCTGCAATTGATTTTATCTAGCTTTCTACAATAAAGTGTTGTAAATTTTAATTAAAAATTGATTTGCAAATTGAATGAGCATGTGTTTTTTGTTTTCAAGGAAGAACCCATGCGTTTTTGTCTCATTGAGAGGACCCATGCGTTTCAGCTTTTCAAATGGCTTAAAGCAATA